AAGAATACAATGGGCTACCTGTGCATCCCTAATGTCCCCTCAGTCTCCACCCCATGTATGCCTCCACTCCATGTGTCCCATGGAGAGATCGCCCACCCTGGGGGGAGATGCCCCACCCCAGGGGATAGGGGGATCTCTCCCCTCATTCTTAAAATAAACTTCATTTATATTTCATACTTCTTATCTTTTCAGCTGCCGCCCCACAATTCTATCAATTAGATCCCTACCTAAGCATTTTATTTTTTGTGTGACAATGGAAATGATATAGTGTTTGTAATTTCAAGTCCCTATTGTTCATTGCTGCAATTGACCTTTGAGTTGGTAATCATACCACATGTCTGTGCTACCATAGTAGCACAGGTCTGTAACCCCAGCACACAGAAGGCTGAAGCAAGAGGTCAGTTAGTTCTAGGTTCTAAATCAGCCTGAGCTACACAGTGACACAGTGAGACTCTGTCCCAAAACTAAGCTAAAAACAGCATTATCTTTTGTATATTAAACTTGTGTTTTGTAAGTAATCTTAGAGCAAGTAAATCATAGGCATTGTTTTATCCCCTGTAGATATTTGGAACCATTAAAAGCCAAGGGACAATGGTGCTGAACTTACTATAACCATGCTAGAGAAAGGCTAATCTGGAAGCTGATGGGACTGTAAGGAGGAGAGAGTGCACATTGGAAGTTTTATGTGAGGCAATCAGGAAAAAATCAGGTGGCCCCAGAAGAGAGGAAGAACAGATTCTAAGGCAAATGCCCTAAATTTGCCTTTCTTTGTCAGGCTTATGGCTCTCTTTACACACATTTTCCTGTTTTTAGGCCTTCTCATTCTCTTCAGTTACATCTAAATATTCCTCAGAAGCCAGTTCAGGTTTGGGTTCAAATAATTCTTTCTCTTCAGTCTCCCCACAGCCTCTGTAATGTCCTCCATCCTGTACACACAGTCTGTCTTTGTATGTATGATGTATTTGTCTGCCTATCATCATTCTGTATTTCACTGAAACAGGAACTTCTGAATCTGAGTAGCACAAGCTCTAGTCCACACACTAAACATACACATAAATGGATAATTCATTCACATCTAGTGTTGGAACTCAAAACATTACCAAGTATGTGGTAGCTATTATATCACATTTACATTTTCTCTTAAGAAACTGAAATCATAGAGCTTCAAAAAACTGAAGCTTAGTCAATCAAGAAGAAAGCACTAAACATTTACCTGGAAATGATCAGTTCCTTAAAACTGTTTTGAGTCATTTTGTTCTGCAGATGAGTTCTTTGTCTATAAATAATGATCATCATACGAGTTTAAAGAGATTTAAGAAGATCTTGACTTTCATCCTCACTGTAGAAAAATTTGAAATTGTAGAAAGGCAGGTTTTTCTTTTCTAACACTCAAACATGTCTTCCCTGGCTGACACAAGCAGCGCTAGTCAACTGGGGAGAAGAGAAGCAGGAGGAATTCTCTAAACCTGGACTACCCACGGCTCTGAGCTCACCAGGAGTCCACATAGACACCAGTAAGAGAGCAGAACTTTGGGCTGGGATGAGCAGGGTAATGATGGCTGGGAGAAGGTAGTCAGAGATGCAGGGTTCACCTCTCAGAAGGAAAGAGGTTAACACAAAACTAACCAGGTTTCTGATGTGAGGATTATTGAATGCATGAGTACAGGTCAACATGAGGGGAGTGGGATATGCCAATCAAAGGAGAGGTCTCCTCACCTCCCAGACTTTTCACTGGACTTGTGAGACTATGCGAGAGAGATTTTTAGGAGTTACAAAATCCTTAAATGCAAAACAAGAATGTAGATTGTCTTGATGAATAATTTTGCTCCAATTGTTTCTACTATTATCACGATTGTCCCTTTACCTACACAGAAAATGGTTGGAGATGTGAGATCTCCTCTCCTGGAACTGCTAGGCCTATGTGAGCTACTGTGCCCTCTTTGAGCTGTGCCCCAGGCTCAGCAGGGCTCAGTGGTTTGCCATTCAACACATCCAACCAATTTGATGCTAATGCCCTAAGGCAGTGAGTGGTGTCAATAGTTATACTCAGCAATGTACACCTACAAACACCTTCCTGTGTGACTCTTTCCAAAACATGAGTGATTCCTGCACCTCGGCCAACATCACCTGCATGAATGATCAGAAAAACTGCCACCAGAGTGCAAGTCCTGTCAACCTGATCATCTGCAGGCTCCCCAGAAGAGAGTACCCACTCTGTCAGCACAAGGATGTTACCCAGTTCAAATTGTTCACTGTGGCCTGTGAACCACCTCAGAAGAGTAACATTTCCCCTCCCTATCTAGTGGTTCCTTATGCTTAGATAAGATTGTGAGAGTGTAGATAAATGTGCCAGAGAGGGAAAAGTCAGCGTCTCCCAAGAATCTGCCATGTGGGGATCAATCAAAAAATCAACTAGCCAGCCTTCCCGGTAAGCTGTGCAAGCCATGTGCATGCCAGGGAGGAAAGAATCAGCACCAGTGAGCCTACCAGCGTGCAGGCTGAGAACCAAACACTGCACATCTCTTGGGAGGATGACAGTAAGCAATATAGCAAATATGGGGATTTCCTTCTATCTTGTCTTTGAAGTCCAGTATTTTCAATGTTTTGCTTTGTTCTGATTGTTTTACTTTATTCAGTATTCTGTTTTGATTGGTTTTATAATGTTTTGGTTTTGGTTTGGTTTTGCTATACCTGATGGAATGGACCATTGTGAAGATACAAATTATACTATGATAGCTATTATTGTTATCCCAATATCCTGCTCTGAAATTCTGTGCCAGTTTTGCTGCATTGTCTCAGTTGGCTTTGTTCTGTCTTGTTTTGTTGGATTTTACTATCTTTACAATAAAAAAAAAAAAAAAAAAAAAAACTTCAGAGCAGGATAACGATTATTGGTACCATCCTCCCAAGAGATGCTCAGACCTCTGGCCCCAGGTCAACATAACCAACCCAGAAATACAAGCATTTAGTTGCTTTATGTGTCTTAGTTGCTGTCGACTCCAGCTGACCTCATCCAGTTGCTAACAGGAGCTCCCCTCTGCCCCGAAGGCTCATGGGAGGCGCTGACTTTTTCTCTCTGGCCGCCTGCTGCTCGCTGCTTGCTAACACCACAGCTTACCAGGAAGGCGGGCCCGCTGCCTTCTTGGTCGGCCTCCCAAGTTCCAACCACATTTCCTTTCTTTTGACACAGTTCCTGTTACAGTTTCTTTTCCTTTTCTTGTTTGATGTCTTACTCCCTCAGAAGAAGGAAGGTATTGAGCAGATAATATTGCCTCAGATACTGAATTAGATATGGAGATTATATCCGTATCTATATCTATCTATTCTGCTTTGGAGATCTGTTTGTATTGAGGCAAGGAAAATACAGAAAGGGAGAAGAGGGATGCTGGCCTTTGGGACTTCTGCTGAACTTTAATGCACTGTATTCACAACAATGAAACCACTTCCTATTGCTAGCTAGTGAGTGATTTTATTTTTTTTCCCTTTCAAGTCATCACCTTCTAATATTCTAAGAAGAACTACTTCATTCTTAGGTCCTTAAACCACCTTTGAGGTCTCCCTGAAGACTCAACCACTTGGCTTGCCTCTGTGTCCCTGGGACTGCAAGCAAGGAAGTTCTCTACCCTCTGGATTTCATTTATTTCCCTGAGGCCACTGGCTATACTTATTTGGAAGTGATGTTGATACCTCAGACAAAGAGTTAATAGTATCTTTTTTTTTTTTGAAGAGTGGATTAGGGCTGGAGGCTGAGGATTAAACTCAGGGAGTGCTGAAATATATCTCCAGCCCTTTTGACTTTTTTACTTGAGACAGAATCTGGAAAAGATTCCCAGGTGGCCTTAGGTAGGAGGACAATCCTCCTACCTAGACTCCTGCATGCTGGGATTACAGGTATGCATCACTATGCTCAAAAGATCCTCCGTACAGAGTTAATTTTTTAAAAATTCCACAACAGTCTTGCTAAATTAACAGGTTGGCCTGAAATTTGCAATCCTATTTCAGCCTTTAGAGTAGCTAAGATTATGGGCATGTATCATAACATTTGTCTCCTGACGAGGTAAGTGTAAAGGGAAGGAAACTGACCTGCAGTGTAGGCCCTGCCCAGACTTGCAGCAAGAAGAAACTAGAGAATAAAGTAAGGGTGTGATGAGCCTTAAAACATGGCTGCCACACACACCACAGCCACATGCCATGTGCTCTCAGCCCACGTGAATTAACTCTTAATCATGGACTATGAAGATGAACATGGCTTACTCGGTCTGTGAACCTAAAAGTTCTCTAAAAAATATATTCCACTGTATTAAAAATAAGGAAATGGAAAAGAACGTTGACGATGAAGGAAGGAATCTGAGAAGACATCTTCCCATATACACTTACTAAAACCTACAAATAAACAATATATCCAAATTTAAGGGATGATTTGCAGAACTGCATAATTTGTCTCATAGAGTGGCTACCTGGAAACAGTTTTGTGAACTTTGCAAATGCACTAGTGCCCAGTCCTAGGGAAGTCTACCTCCAAGCTGAAATCTACTCAGTACCCCTCAATTCCAGAACCCTCTAAGGTCTTTCAGATCTATGATTTAAGATCCTGACTTCCCAAGAGTCACTTTTCTAATGTGGAAATAGCTCACTCAACAAAAAGAAAGAGGAAATTAAGGATCCTAGTTCCAGAATCCTCCTATCCCCCTTGAAGCTTTCCTGTGCCGAAGCTGTCCCTCCCAGGCCAGAGAACTAGGGCATCAGAGCTGCACCGTTGTCGGTTTACCCAGCGCTACAATGCACCCAGCTGTAGCTCCCTTTTTCTAAAACAATAGACATTTCAAAATTTTGGCTGTGACATAAAGGAATCTACAAGAAAAAGAATTATCTCATGCCACTGACATCCCAAATTCCGAAGGGGAAGAGGGTTTAAATTCTCCGTTTGCTGTTCACCAGCAAGTCACATTTAAATGTCTTCCTCATCACTAGAAAGCAGCAACACATCCTGGGTAGGATCCTCTAGGAAGCCAGTGACTACCACTATGTTTTATTGAAAGAAGCAGTGAAGGAGTTAATACGGGGCCCACAGACCACCCACTCTCAGCCCCAAAGCCATGTACGAGCGGGACACAGGAGAGGGAAGCTTGTGTGTATTGAACAGGAGCCTTAAAGGCAGTAATTTCCTTTGGTGCAAGAAAAGAAGAGGGGAAAGGCAGGTGCTGAAATGATGACAAGGCGGGAGATGAGGGTCTCAGTGCTCTGGCTTAGGTGGAGGGCTCCACAGAAGCATCAAAGTGAACAGGCACATACGGGTCTCCCTCACAGGCCACGATGATGCTCTTCTGCGCCTGGCTCATGCGGTATGAGCAGTTGGGGAACTTGGAGCTGCTCGTCACGCGACAGTCTGTGATGCGCATCCTGGAGTAGCTCTGGTAGCAGTTGGTCTGCCCATTCTTGCAGAGGACATTTTTCTGGAAGCAGACAGCCTGCACATCTGCCAGGGACTCATGCACGAAAGTGTTCACTGGCTTGCAGCGGCCCTGTGTCATGTTCCGGCGAATCATCATTACGTTGCAGTAGTTACTACTGTTGCTAGGGGAACCCTCTGGGTCCATGTGCTGCCGCTGGAACTTCATAGCCGAGCTTTCTGCTCCCAGGGAAGGTTGTACCCACCCCAGTCCCAGTAGCACCAAGACGAGCAGTGGGAACAGGACAAGGCACTTCTCCATGGTGACCTCGCTGTCCTGGGAGAGCCTACATGGGAAAAGGAAATGGGAGCAAGAGCGTGCCTTGCAGCAATTAAACGCTGGCTCCCTTCTGCTGCTTCCCAGGATACAGTCACCCTTTCCGGAAAGGCATGTCTTTTCTGGAAAGGTTTTCCAAGTGATTACACACTCGTGCACATGTTTCTCTAATTGCATTGAACTCGTACTAGTTAACAAAGTTATTCTCCCCTTTAGGAGGTAATGTATCTAAAATCCTGGCAGGGCCACATTTTTGAATACTGGATTTTCTTCCACCTAAAATAAATTTAAAAAATAAAATACACTTCCCGCAGTATTCAAATGGCTCATTCTGAACAAAATGGAGGCAAATTTGGCAGATTTTGTCACTGAGTTATTACTGTGACATCAAGGATGATGGATGACAGACACTGTTGTCTTAGTGCACAAAGAAAACTCAGTGCAGTGTCTGGCATCCTAAAGGGGTTCTACTGTATGCCAAAGAGAGAGCCCGGCTTTTCTCACCTTTGGGGCTCTCCTGTAGCCCATCACTTTCTGCAGTTGCACTTGCCCGTTCCTACCCAGCCCCTTACCCCCTCTTCCCCAGCAAATGGTTCCCTGTTCCAAGCATTTTTGGTGTTAGTGAGAGCCAAGCTTTTTCAGTGCACCAGCCTCCTTAGCTTCCTTTTCTCCAGCCCTCCTGAGACCTGAGACTACTTACCTGGGTCTCTAGAAAGGAAGATTAGTTTCTGCACTCAGTCCTGGGAGCAAGGTCTTTATATAGATTGCAAAGGGCTTTGGCAATCAAGAAAGGTGGGAGGAGTATTTTGGTTTCCAATCAGATAAAAAGAAGAACATTGTGTGGAAAGGGTAGGGAATGGCCCAAGCAAACACCTGTTCAGGTTCTCTGGGGAGAGAGGGAATCTACCTGCAGATCTCTCTCCCACATGAACCTCATCTGTCTGCTGATGACAGGCAGTGCAGAGAAAGCCACTACAGCTCGGGCACCCAAGCCACATACACTCAACAAAGTCCTGTGACTCTGTCTGCTATTCCACTTGGGGCAGGTGAAGGGGCAGGTCAAGGTGATTGTGGCAAGGGAAGCCCTCCCTCCTCAGGCGCCTTGAAATGCTTTTTGCCAGAGTTCCACATCTCCCAGCAGCACCTCTGCTGGGAAGAAAGAGGGGAACTGGGGTTCTCTGCCTTCAGCCAGAAGCTCTCCCAGACCTGGAGAAGGGAGAGTGTTTGGACTGGGAGAAAAAAAGGAATCCAGGGTGGGTTTACCCACCACTTTCCACCCCCTCCTTGCCATTCCTGTGTATTGCACGTGCTTGGACAATTTTTGTACAATGACCGCTGACCCTGTAGGTCTGACCTAGGTAAAGGAATAAAAGATTACCCAAAATATATATAATATTATTATTTTTATTACATATGATTTTTTATTGAAAAAAGTAAATAATTTTATAACAAAATATTAGGAGACTAACAATAGTTAATACATGGCGTATGGTCATCTTCAAATTAATTACACAGAAAATAAGATATGGACATAAAAAAATTCTCCAATTGATATTAACAAGGACCTTCCTTTTCAATTAACTAAGAGACAGTAATAGTATAGCTACCATGTATTTTTCTCCCTTTCCCTTCCTTCCTTTCTGCTAAACCTACTTTTAGTTTTTTTCTTTTTAAATAATTACTTCCTATATTATTATTATTATTATTTTAATCAGCATAATTACAACTTAGAAAGAGACTTTTTTTCTTATACGTAGAATAAGAAATATCAAAATATCCTTCTATGTGCTGAATACAAATTTCCTTGGTCCAAACCCTGGTTCAGCACAGTATGAGCTAAGCAATTCACAGACATTTATTTCCGTGTTCCTCAGTTTCTTCTTTTCTGCAATGAAGATGTTGTATACTTCTTAGGTTTGTTGTTTGGTGGAGATGAAGTAAGATGTGTGAGAGCTCAAGAGAGCCTCAGTGGGTCCCGACTCTGGATGTGCCCATGGCTGACCAGATACCTCCAAAGGGTCTGTTTGAATGGCATCTTTGAATTCTTCCGGAAGGGAGTGGAGTCCAGAAATGCCACACGTTTGTTTTACTAAAACCCTGAGGTGAGGTTAGTAGTCTTTCTTGAAGTCTCAGGGAGGAAAGAGAGAGTAAGAAGACCACAGGGGAACCTTGGGTGGGAAGAACAAAATTCTTTCTGGAAATTCAAGGTAGCATTGCTATGTGGTTTCCAACTGTAATGAACCTCACTTCCCGTGTATTTGGAGTTGGATGTGGCATTGGGGTAAGGAGTGTGAGTCGTGACACTACCTTAGCTTCATGGTCACTGTAGTCCACGCAGCTCCCCAGGCTTGCAAAACCAGAAATTATAAACAGGTTCAAGTAAAGCAAACATCATCTCCTTTGGGTGCAGAATGCATTTGTAAATGTAAAACAAGGGCTCGTTCACAAACTGGGCAAATGTTTTACCAAAGCGCAGCAGAATTATTGCTTTTTATAACAAAAAGGAGCAATCTTTGGGGAAGACAAGCAGGATCAAGGTAAAGTCAGATTTGAAAGTGACGTTGTTAAAGTTTCTAAATCCAGACAATCATGTTTTTGTCAAAGGTTGCAGAGAATGAATTGTTAGATTCAAGAACATTGTTAAACTCTGGTGGATTCTGTTCCTGATGTCCGTATAACTACTTAATCTTCTCAGTAAAGTCTCTAAGATTCAGAAAGCCATTTTTGTTTCTTTTTGATTATTCTGGAAGCCATTTTAATTTTTACGGTATCAGCCACCACTTCAGCATAGTCTCAGAGTCCTCAGATTGTTCTTCCCTCATCCTGAGTGACCAAGTTAGAATTTGTGCATGCGTTCACTATAACAGTGGGGTATAGAAGTGAATAATTTACCCAAATCATGCCTGGGGATGCAGTTCGGCTTAGTCAGTTGGACCCTAATACTAAGCATGTGCTCATTGTTCAGATGACTGAATGATTTATGAGCACTGAAAACCTGGGGCTCTAACTGTTATGAGATGTTCAGGAGTAAGAGAATGATCAAAGAATGAGACTGAGAAACTGCACTAATGGACAATGACTGGACAGTATATAAAAACAGGTATGAACAACTCTGACCCACAAGCTCTACCAGTAAGTTCAAGATGCTGATCCACTCTCTTGCAGAAAATACAGGATACTAAACAATGGCTCCTGTATCAACTGACTCAAAATAGCTAGTATTAGGTTAATAACTGAAAACTTGCCTGATTTTTCTTTTTTCTTTGTCAGCTAAGGACTAAGCAGAGGAGGCCAAATATGTGTCTTAACAGTCACATAGGATGTGGTGCTTCCACTTAGACAGATCCGCCTGCAGCTTCCCATGTAGCCACCTCCATCAGGGCACACCCGAAGTCTCCCTTTGCCCTGGACAGTGGTCCCACCCTGCCCTGTCTTCGCCTCTGCTCCACATTCAAGTATTCAAGTATTCAGAGCCTCTGAATAAGAGGCTTTGCTTGCTCTCTGAGGGAGGCTTTGTGTATTTCATGAGATTTTTAAATAAACAAAGAAGGGAATATGTATAACTTGAAGATATTTCACAGCAAACCACAGGCAAACTCAGGGATGCTCTGTCACGAGGCTCAACACAGTCCCCCAAACACATAAATGTGGGTGTACACACCCAATCCCAGTGCACACCCATCCCTGAGGTACTCACATATGTAATAGGTGTGGTTCCTCGTGAAACCCAGGAATCAAAGAAGCAAGGAAAAATTAAAATAGAGTAAGATAGAAAAGCTAGGGATGTAAAGGAGGTGACCAGTGATTGAAAAGTGAGAAAAACAAAAAAATGGGGAAAAATGCCAGAGACGCCCCAAACCAGTGCTGCCCCATCTTTCCCACCCTTGCTCCTTACATCACAGAAGCCTGCAAAGATAGGAAAGAGTAAAGTCAAGGCAGTGTTTCTCAGGTCCTCCGTTTCCCACCATAAATCCCCCATGTGTCTCTAAATACAGGATTTAGCGTTGTTTAAAGGTTGATTACATGGGAGCAGAAAGGACTCACTGGGGTGAAGGTTTGGTAGTAAACAGTGCCTTTCCCCACTTCTAATTACTGCTTCTCCTCAGGAGGACACTCAGTCCTGGCCGGCAGGGCCCTCTTCCCTGCCTCTTCTGCATCTGTACCACACTGTGGCTAACGCTGAGCTGTGAGGGGCCAGGAAGCAGAACGGCCAGACCACAGAGGAGCCAGGCCAGTCAAATGCCTGTATCTTAGCATCTCATAGGGAGATATGAGAGCAAAATGTTCCTCCTCCTTCCCTCTGTTGGCCTCCACATGAAGAGAATTTAGGGTAGATACACTTAAGTGCTGATTCTCAGTCGTATGAATGAGTGTGTTAGAGTCTGAGGGTATTTACAGGCATGTGAAGGTTGGGGTGCAGTTTTAGCAGAAGCACACTTTATCTGCAGGTCTCAGCCTCTTTCCTTAGCAGCTCCCCATACAGCTACTCACAAGCCCCTTCCCCACATAGTTCTCTCCCTCTCACTTTCTCCACCTTGCTTTAACTTCCTACAAATTCAGAATCCTTTAGAAGCCAGGAAATTGATTGTATATTATTCCAAATGTAGAATAAAATTTTTCTTTTACTAAAAGGATTCACTCAGTGAAGCCAGACGTCTAAGAGGTGATAGAATGAATGAATGAATATAGAATGAATATAGAATGAATATATGAATATATTCATATCGAATGAATGTTTAAACTTTAAAAAATTATTGCAATAAAAAATACAGAGTGCTGGGGATGTGGCTCAGTGGTAGAGAACTTCTCCACATGTTACATAGGGGCTGTCTTAGTTATTTTTTATTTGTCACTGAGACAAAATATCTGATGTTCAAAGTTGGGAAAGGAAAGGTTTATTTTTTATAGTTTTTGGAGGTTTTAGTCCATATTTAGTTGGCTCTAAGGCAGGGTGGCATGTCAGGGACGCAGCTTATGGTGGCTACAAACAGCAAGGCAGAAACCACCACGAGAGAGAGAGAGAGAGAGAGAGAGAGAGAGAGAGAGAGAGAGAGAGAGAGAGAGACAGAGAGAGACAGAGAGAGAGAGAGAGATCTTTTTCCTGCCATTATATTGTTTGCAGGCTCCACCCCTATGTGGGTGTAGCACTGACACCATCAATCTAAGCTCTAGACAATGAACCAATCACAAAAGCATAATGCCTGGGGGCCACCAACATAAACCATGACAGGGGCTCTCAATTAGATCCCTAGCACCAGAAAGAAAGAAAGAAAGAAAGAAAGAAAGAAAGAAAGAAAGAAAGAAAGAAAGAAAGAGAAAAGACCCTAATCCAAAAGGATGTATTGCCATTAATTCTTCTCAAACACTACCTCTCTCCCTTCAAAATCACTTAGCCCATAATTCTTGACATTTTCTGAACCAGATCTAGAAGTCTTCTTTTGTGTTTCTGTTAGGTATGATTCAAAGCACAGTGAACGCTGCTATTGGATGCTATCCAGAGGGCAGCCAGGCTCATAAAAATAACAGAGGACATCCTCATCCACCTTGATTACTGGATCTGGCAACATGCAACTTCTGGGTCCTCCCCAAAGTCCCCAAAGAGGATGAAAAGTGAATGCTTTGAATGTGTTCAGGACACTGATGCAGCTACAAAAGCATAATTAAGGCATTCAGGAGAGAGGACTTCCAGAACTGCTTCAGCAAGTGCTAAGAACCATGAAATAAGGGTATTTGAAGTGAGGGGAGAGTATT